CCCCGCCGGCCCGGTAACGGGGGTCCGGCCCTGGTGCCCCAGCCCCCCTTCCCCAGCGCTTGGATTTAAAGGGACAGGAACTGCGTAACGGGAAGGCTCCTGGCACCGGGGCGCTCTCCGTCTGCCGCCGCCCGGCCCCGGGAGGTGCAGCGGGTGGAGCAGGCCCCGCCGCTCCGGATGGCGCCCCGAATCCTGCCGCGCTCCTCTCGCCCGGCTCAGACCCGCGTCGCAGCCCCGGCTCGGCCCAGAGGCTCTCTGCAAACCACAGGTGGTTTTTCCTGACAGATAATCGCTGCTTTTCCTCCGGCCCCGGGGAGGGGGTTTGATGAATTCCTTCCTCCAGTCAATCAAGAGAAAGTCGGGCCACGGGACTCATCTCGGAGCGGAGTCTCCCAAATCCCGTGAGCCCTGCGCCCTGGCCAACAGGTAGCCCCCCACTGCAGGAGCTCCCCAGTGGGGGAGCAGAGTGGGGCCTCTCTCCACACCCCCCACCATGGTGTCCTGACCCTGGATCTGAGCAGCCTGGGAACAACTTAAATAGCTTTCCCTGGACCATGGATCCCAGACGGAAGCCAGAGTGAGCCTGGCCATGGCAGTGGTTGGAGGCCTCCGAGGTGCCCACTGGGATCAGGAGTCAGGGGCCTCCAAGGTGCCTGGGCAGGGTGTGAGCCTGCCATGGAGGGAGCTCCAGCGAACCCTGGCCCTGCACACCTTGCTTGGGCCAAAGCTCTCAGGGAAAATCAGCCCCTCCTGAGACCCCGGGCTCAGCCTCTGGCTCCTGCCTAGGGCACAGAGCCCCTCCACAGAGACCACCAGCCAGGAGGCCAGGCACCTCCCTCCCTACCCTGGGGTCTAGGACGTCCACTTCTGCTTCGCAGTGACCCCTTCTAGTGCTGTGCTTCACTGGAGACCCCTCCAATGCCCGGGGTGGGCTGGTTGGATCCAGCATGTCTCGCCCTTTATTGGAAGTTGCCATGTTGCCCCCTAGAACGGGAGCGGCTGACCTCTCACCCTGCAGGACACCTGTGAGGCTCCACTCCACAGGCCACACTCAGTGTCACCAGACTTCTGACTTTGTTTCAACTTATTTTATTCTGTCCTTCAAAGTGGGTGTGAAATAGAATCTCCTGGCTGTTCCCTGTAAGTGAAAATTACATGTTGGGATTGTGTGGGCAAAAAAGGCTACAGATGTGTTCTCCCAAGGTTGCTGTGTGGCTTTGGGCAGCCGCTTACTGTCTCTGGACTCAGTTTTCCCATCTATGAAACAGGCATAATGGTTCCCATAGAGGAGCCATGAGAATTCTGGGCACCCGGCACCTAGTTAGGCCTTGGGAAGCAGGAAGTGGTATTGTTCTAGGAGGTGATGGGTCCTGCAGGGCACACCCAGCCGCAGCCTGCTCCCAGCACCCGGGAAACCAGCACTGCCACCACTCTTGTACACGCTGTGTTTTCTTCTATGTATTGCTGACCTTTTCTGCTGATTCAGCAGCCCGTCCTCACAAGCAGTGGCTGGTGACGGATGGATCCTGCTGGAAGGTGGTGACTGGTTCCAGGCGGTCGCTGGTCAGCACCTGTCTGGGGACCCTGCATACCCTTCCCCCTGTGGCCCCACCCCGGCTGCCTGGCGGCACCAGGCCAGTTCTCTGGGGTGCACATGGGAGACAGACTTGCGCACATTGGAAATCATTCTCCCGTCAGGGAGGGCTGGCAGCATTGATTTCATTTGGGAGAAAACTCTCTAGGGCTGTAAACATTACACCACCCAGCAACACAAAACCCAGGGAGGAAGCAAGCTATGCCTGTGCGCCACCCCACAGCCTCTGCCGAGCCCCTGGCTGGGAGAGCACCTCTCCTCCCTTCCACCTGAGCCCGCAGGGATGGAGACTCCCACGCTCTCCTCCTGAAGCCAGCGTGGCCCCCAGCCAGTGCCCTCCCCACGGGGAAATTTGGACTGGGGACCCAAGCCCTGTCCCGAGGCGTCAGCACTCACTGTCTCCTTTGCTGGTCTCCTCCCGGGGCAGGGAGGCTCAGGTTGGGGCCCCAGGAGACTTCCTGGCTGTCCTGGGTGAAGACTGTCCCTGTGCACCTCCGTGGACGCCCACCCCCTGCCCATGGCCCTGCCTTCTGGTCTGTGCCCACATGCGCCTCCTGTCCCTCGTCCCCCGAGCTCTCCTGTCTGATGCTGACACCGCCTCCACCAAGAGGTGGGCTCTGGCCTCTGTCCCAGGGAATCCGGGCTGCTCACTGGGTCAGCAAGTGACACCAAGTGGCCTCGAAGGCCAGCTTGTGAGCGGTACCACAGCCTCATGTCCCTGAGGTGCTTGAGTCAGAAGTTGCCGTGCTGCCAGGGCTCCAAGGCAGCCCCAGGAATAGGACAAGGGGAGGAAAGGAAGCCTGGAGCCCAGAGGCCCACCAGATGTCTGGGCTGCAGCCAGCACCAGGCGCAGCGTCTTGAGAGTAGGTGCTCCAGCCCCAACAGCCACCAGCTAGGCAGAGACAGCCCTTCCAACAGTTCGGTGTCTGAACAAAATAAATAAATGACTGCCTTGTTCTGAGCCAGGGATGTTGCACCCTGTAGCCTGGAAGTCAAATCTGGCCCCTGCTTATTTTTATAAATAAAGTTTTATTGCAGCACAGCTGTGCCTGTCCACTTGTGGATGTCTGTAGTGACTTTCACACCGTGATGGCACAGTTGAGTAGCTGTGACAGGCCCCACATGTCCCATAAAGGCTAAAATATTTACCTCCTTGTACTTCACCCAAAAGTGTGTCAACCCCTTCGTACTGGTCTACACAGGCCAACATACCACTGACTGGGCAGTTTAACCAACAGGAGTTTATGGCTCACCGTCCTGGAGGCTGGAAGTCCAGGGCAAGACACCAGCTGACTGTTTCTGGTGCAGATTTTTCCAGCCGACAGACAGCTGCCTTCTCACCTTGTTGGGAGCAATGTCTCCGGGTCTGGGCTCTGCGACCACTCCTCGGCCCGGCTGCTTTCTGCCTGTGCTCCATGGATCAGCATGCTCTGCTGCCATCTTCTCTTTCCGTCCCAACCATGGCTCATCTGGACTGTCTGGGTCCTGATTCCTGACCCCTGGGAGAGAACGTCAGCATGGGTCAGTGGGGCCAGATGTTCACTCCAACCCCATCAGTTGTGGTCAGAGAGTGGTGTCCTGCCTTGTGACAACAAGGAGACACGAATGGCATTTCTAGTGCAAGCAGAGAAAGTACGGTCTGAGCAAAGGTGAGATGCAGGTTCTGTGGGTGGGAGAGATGGCTAGAAATCGAGAGTGTAAGAACTTTGGAAAAATGGCGGTGTAATCTCACCTTCTTGATTAACAAGAACTGGAACCACCACCACCCCATGCCCAGGGAGCATGGTTGATTTCAAGATGAAGAGAGGTCGAGGAAGAAGAGGGTAAACCGGAAGTGACTTGGAGGGGTAGGCAAGAAGAAGAGAGGCGGTGATGGTGATCATGATGAAGGCAGTGATAGGAACCCTTGTACTGGGGTTTCATCCCCACTGTGACTCTCAAGTGTGCAGAAACTCAATCCAACTCTAGTGTTTAGAGCGGGAGCCTGAGGAGGTAAGGAGAATCAGATGAGGTCACTAGGGTGAAGCCCCCATGCTGGAATCCTGGTGGCTTTATAAGAAAAGGAAGAGAGACCAGAGGAGAAGTACACACACACACACACACACACACACACACACACACACACGCCTTGCTTTTGCCATGCAAAGCCCAGTGTCACCTTGGGACTCTGCCAGCCAGAAGACCATCCATCACCAGATGTAGCCTGCCTCAGGTATTTTTTATAGTAACACAAACAGACTAAGACAGATGTGATGGTGATGGTCATGATGGTGCTGCTGATGTGGATGACGATGCTGGTGGTGCTGATGGAGATCGTGGTGATGATGTTGGTCACGATGGTGAATCGTGTCTATGTGCCTGACTGTGCTAAGCATTTTCCATTCACTCTCATATTTCATTAAGATAACTTCATGAAGCAGGCACTATCATCACCCTCATTTTATAGCTGAGGAGCCCCAAATCTTAAGGGCAGTTACCTGCTCAGGATGGAAATGAGTGAGCAGTTGACAGTACAGCATGTTTTCGTACCACCACCACCTTCTGTCTCGAGTGCGTGGATGTCCCCTCCCAGGAACAGACGAGTGGTCATCTGTGGCCTAGACACTGTGTACACTTCATGAATTACTCTATAATAAAGGCCCATGCAATGACCACTTAGGAACTGAACAGTATCAGCACCCTAAACCCCATGTGTACCTCCCCAGTTGCAGCCCTCTCCTCCTCCCTGTCAGAACAGTCCCCTGAACGTATAAGCATCGCTTTGTCCCCTGCGTCGGAGTATCCTGACCCCCAAAGTTTAGCCTGCCACTTCTGGCATGGGTGTGACCGGAACTGTGCTCCGTGCATTGTTTTTTGCCCAGAATTGCACTTGAGCTTCATCCATGTAGCTGTGTCTCTGGGGTCATTTGTTCTC